TTGATGCCTATCAATGCCCACATAGGAGCTCTACTAGACTAGGTACTTATTTACTATGCGCGCGTAGGTAAATGAAGTGATGTAGCAATTACTGATTGTGTCTATATTGGCCTTCGCAGACGAGGGACTGGTCGGCGGAGGACAAAAGACACCGAAACGTGAAACGGATGTCACGGACTCAACGCACACGGAATGCCAACATTTGTTGCTCGAAAATTGAGAGAAGTGCACGAAATGAAAGTAACAATTCTCAGATTACGTTGTGTTGTAATGAATATGAGGTTAGAGAAAAAGAGATGACGATTTAAAGCAGAATACCTACCTACTGCGCAGACTGTGCAGTGCCGTCTTTGACCTATTGGAGGCCCTGGGCATATTAGGCCCAAGTCACATGAGTTCTATTTTTTTTTTGGGACAACCCCGTTCTCTTGTCCCGACTGGTCTCGGTCGGAGTCCGAAATGATATGTGTGGTATAAAGCTTAAGCAAGGGCGGATCCAGCTTTGGCGCCAGGGGTCATATAGTCGTGGTCAAGTCACACTAGGTACAGATTGTGAAGTGGGTACAGACCCAACCCAGGGGCCTGGATCCGCCCTTGCGCTCAACTAACTTTTCAACTGGACTCCAATGCGGATGCACATATTGAAAAAAAATAACATTCAGATTAAGCGTTCACTTTTTAGGATAGAACAGAATTGAATATTTGCCAAACGCGCTTCCGTCGTCACTTACACAATCTCACACCACAAATAGCTTCTGGCTTATGAGCAAACGGATACTTGTATCCTATCCGGTATCTTTGTTTCATCGGTTGTTGCGGGGGCTTTTTGTAAGCGTTTTAATTATTTCTATGGTACATTTTATTAATTACAAACCAAGTTGTCACTTAAATTGATTGATCAAAGTGTTTGTATTGAGAATATTGAAATAATGTAAAACTATGGATATAATTACTTTTGTTACTGCTATGGCATTGATCGCTGTGGACTGATTGGCCATAGCGATCAATAATTTTAGAATAGGTTTCCTTTTTTGGGCACCTGTTGCACGTTAGCATTCCTCCAAGTCTCCAGCACACGGCCTAAAGAGTACGAGAGTTTGTATAAGAGCGTAAACATAAAGCATTACTGCTGGGATGACATCGGGTCCACTAGCTTTCCGGACATCGAGTGATTGCAATTCAGCACATATCTTACGTTGCCCGAGTTTAATATAAGGCATCGCAGTGCCACAATGAGGTTATGACAGTAGCAGTAGGTACATTGCAATCATCGATTCAAAGAGCTTTGCCAGTAAATCGGCTTTCTCTTGCGGCTTAAGAGCTACTGAGCCATCTGGACATCTCAGAGGTGGCAGCGATGGCTGGCAAAAGTTGTTTTGCACGGCCTTGGCCAAACGCCAATAACTATGGAAGCACGTAGGAGGAATTGTCAGTTTGTGGCCACGCGCTGGGCATCCGTCCTGATGTAAGCCTTCTTGCAGGACTAGAAGCACTATTGTAGGCTGCTTTTCGTTGAATCGACCCCGAGAATTTAAGAGTGCGGCCTCTGATCCAACGTGCAGAGCCACACGGACGTAACGAGAATTAAAATTCAGTTCACATTTAACGTGTATTCGAGATCGAATTTAACTATTCGATTACAATAATGGTTCCGTGCTTACGGTACTCGAGTCTAATTGGATTATTTTATGTAACTAAGTCCATTTTTTGGGAAAACGCAAGATTTAACCTTACCACAACCGATTATAAGTTTAATTTCAAACACGCATATTTTTGGACGCCTTACTGCTACTTACTCGAATTTTTATTTTCTCAGAAGATGTATGGCCTGTCTTTTGCGAAAGTTTAATCCAAAATTTATCTAATCGGTTCAGCAGTTCAGGCGTAAATTTATAACAGGTGTACAAGGTTACCTTCGCACTTAGAATATTGGTGTCTGTAGAAAAGTCGGATTCCTGCATTTTGCTTTGGTGATAAATCTAAGAAAGTGGCCACATTATGACACTATAACTTATTGGCCATTAGGGTCGCGGTAGCATAATTGGTCAGTGCATTTGCCCGGATAGCGAAGGGTGCGGGTTTGAGTCCCGTCTGCTGCCTAGTCCGCGTGGATTTTTTCTAGTTATATTTTCTTTAGATTTAAACACTGTAACTTGTTGAGAACAAAAAATATGGAAAAATAATATAATAGTCGTAACTCTTTGAGATGGTCGATTGCTATTTTTAAAATAAAAGGAGACAGTTTTTTCCGCATTACATTTATTTACTCGTATTATAAAACATTAAAGAAACTGATCAACATAATAAAAAAATCAACAATCTTTTTACAAAATAATATTACGTCGTTCTTTACTTAAAACTTAATCAGGAATTATTGCTAACAATTAAATAATAATCTCTTCATAATTCACATATCACCTCTTCATTATTGGCCTGGAACAAAAATAAATCAATCAATTACCACAAAGTCAATAGTTAAAACTTTTAACTACAAAGTCATATTTATAAAAATATAGAGATAATATCTACAGTAATCTCTATATCTCTCGTATTATGAAGTAAATTAAATGAGTTTCTAGCCGGTTCTTCTCAGTACAATGTCTCCCGCCGTAGATTTGCGAACCGATGCGATGGCGTAGCTTTCCGACTTTCACATGTGCTTGTAACAGCCTAAACTAAATGAACGATATTGCATTTGAATGGTATAGAGGATTTGTCGATCTATTGAAGCGTTCATCCGTCCTTCTGTTATTAACTTTTCAATGTCCTCACAGATGAAGCACAAGCTTTTTTCTATAAAAATAACAATAAAAGAACATCGGGCTTTACTTGAAAACGCGGCAACACTGCGTGCGTTGATAGAGTTGTCCGGCTAAAGGACTGAGTATCCAAAGCCAGAATAAATTTAAAAAAATGATAGGGTTGTCGATCAGAAATGGTTGCCTTTTATATACGGGGTGGTGGAAAGAAGTTATCTTAACCAATCAAAAAAATCTAAAACCCGACTGCAGCGCCACCTATTGGGTAGAGTTGTAAGTTTTCTTATATTTTCTAACTTCCTGCACAACTTTATTTTTTCCGTAAGAACCATCTACGGAGTATTAGAAAACTTAAAAAAATGGAAAGAATATCTCAAATTATGGGAAATAAGGATTCTATAAAAGATATATGTATTAATTATATAAATGCGTAATTGAACTCCTCCGAAACGGCTCGACCGATTTTCGTGAAATTGTATATGCATATTCAGCAGGTCTGAGAATCGGACAACATCTATTTTATATCTATTTTTCATCCCCCTAAATGTTAAGAGTGGCCCTTAATTTTTTTTTGGACACTTGTTTTTATTTTTTTATAATATATCATACAAAAATACATACAACCCTAAATTTTTACCCTTCTACCACCAACTCCTATTTTTTTAAGGCGGTACGGAGTTCGCTGGAACAGCTAGCATAAATATAGATTTTTAAGCAACATAATCGCCTATAATTAATCTAGTATAAGTATTCTACTTACTTCTTTTGAAAGCCGAATTTGCTGATTAGCGTCGGTTGGTTGTTGGGCAAAGAAACGCTCTTCTTCAAGCCAACATGCCTAGCGGTAGATGTCTTCTTGAAGCCATTGGCTTTCGGCGATTTCTTAAAATCACCCAATATCGACTGAGATTGGCTACCGTACATACGCTTCTCATTAGGCGGTGAATCTCCATACGATACCTTTCAACAGAAACAATATTATTGTATCCGATAAATAAATAAATTTCAAATAACCAAAAATTTTGCGATGGTTTAGCCCTGTGATGAATGAACAACGCGATGAAAATAGACTGAGAGCCAGTGATCCGCAGACTTACGGTATAGTAGCAAACTTCATATTAATGCTAGTTGTACTAATTCATCTGCTGTAGATCAAATGGTGGTTCACTATTCCCATACAGGGTTCCTTTAGGCGTGCCGAGAAGTCGAAAAGCATGAAAATCGACGTTTTGACATCTTAAAATATATATATTTTTTATAGAAAACCTTAATGCCAGACACTTTTTCCGGTTCCTACTATATTTTATATAATATCATAGTTTCCAAAATTTCATAAAATTTGCGTTATTTTAGCAAAGCTAAAAATTACATAAAATATGTTATTTATATTATTATTATAAACATGTATTTACAAAAACAGACCTATAGGTCGGTTCTGACATGCGGGCAGACCACACGATACTTTCTCAGTCGTGCTATTGCAGTTGCATGATTTTGATTTTTTCACTCTTAATTTCGCAGGGAACTAGAGTTTCAGCAAAGCTGCAATTTATGTATGTTTTTAACAGAAAAAACCAGACAGATAAGCCGGTTCCAAAATGCAGGTAGACTACATAATAGTTTCGCAGTCATGCTAATGGAGATACACGATATTAACTTTATCCTCTTCATCTCGCAGGGGGTCAGTATTCAAGCACCGTTGTAAATACGATGGACAAGGTTTGATGAATATACGCTATTCATTTCGGAACATATTTAAATAAAATAAATGTTTTTCTCTGCAATTGAATAGAAATGTTACCTGACCTTTACGCCATTAGTTTACCCTCCCTAGGAAAAAAATATGTTTCTTATTTATGATATTTTTGTACATATATATTTTAAGAATCAGAGAGATAGGTCGATTTTAACATGCGGGTAGACAATATATGTTTTCTCTATCACACTAATGTAAAAACGGTAGTCAAGTTGAGGTGCTACGATTTTTGAGAAAAACTTGTTTTCATAGTTTTACAAATAAATAATGTTGCTATGGCCTTTGTTATTTGATCTTGAACTATTTGTGTTGTTAATAAAAGCATCGAAGGCATTGTTTTATCTTTATAACACAGAATATACGCAATATTGTTATAATGAGTGCATATGCGTCGTGTTTAGATGTCCAATTGCGACTAAAGCTAATTCCATAATTATGACCATTCATGTACCACAATTTAAGCGGATCATTTTTGAGCCGCGAGTGCCGTATCTTCCCTTTTTGTTTTAATCTAAGACTTAGGGTTACTCCCGTTTAATAGATACTCATAGGTATGTGTGCATGATGGTGCGAATAAAGTTTTTATCTATCTAAAGGGTTAATAGAAGGGACTTATGGGCAGGGCAGGCAGTAATGTGTGAGCAAACGCTCATAACTTGACCAAAACTTGGTTCTGATTGCGTCGTTGCTCGCGAGTATGAGCGGTGATTGGTGTGATTGTTTGATGTCGCGTCACTTGATTGGCTATTATCTATTAGGTGGAAGGGTAGTGGGGGCGAGCCGGGGCGAGTACAAACGGTCTATGATCACCCTTCTAACCTTTTCCTGTGTTCTGTGGTTCAAGCTCCTCATGGCCATCTCACTGGGCCAGTGCTGGCCCATCGTGTAGAGGAGGCAATAGATCAAGTGACCGTGTTATATAACAAAAATGTCAAATAAATTGTTATGGCTGTACTTTTACAAAACATAAATATTTGATGCCATGAACCCACGAGGGATAAAATATGGCATATATGTAAGTATGTTTTACCTGTGAATCCACCGGCGTCACCAAATTCTCTAAAGGATAAGTGTTATCTATCACAGAATCTTCACTACAATTATTCAATAACTCTTCAGGTTTCATCTTGAATGGATTCCTGCTCCTCGGGCTAGGCTCTAATATAGGGCTTCGTTCCCTCTTCAACGGTGAATGCTTCGGTGAATTCTCTTTCTCTGAACTTTGACTCGACTGCGAATCTGGTATTTCATCGCACTGAGTGTCTATAGCTGAATCTTTATTGGACTCCGGAGATTTGAGTTTAAATGGATTCTTGCTAGGCTTATCCGGAGACTCTTCTACTGTTACACTATTTCTAGACAAATTTCCATCTTCCGTTTTTTCTTCGGTTGCACTAAAGAATTTGCTTTCAACAACGTTCTCGCTGAGCACAGTCCTCGGAAACTTACTCAATCTCTTAAGCACCAAGTTGTTATTCAAACTTTTCTTATACGATCTTTCCTTATTTTCTAAAATTGGTGATTTACTCGGCTGATTATTTGATAGCTCCCGAACAATGTCTTCTTCTCCTAACGCTACATTATGAGAATTCTGTGTGTTTTGAGTGTATGTTATGCTTAAACTAGTATCACAGTTTATTTTTTGCTTCTTAGTAGCTGGTTCTACGCAATACATGGTACTCAAGCTTTCTATGGTCAAACTGAAAAGAGAAGAGTATTGAATATGACAATTTTATTTTAATGATTACACTTCTTGATTTAAGAAGAGTTTTATTTATGTTTATTGTTGAATTTATTATTAAATTCACATGAGGAGAAATTAACAGAATATTTTAGGCATGGACTAGAAAGAAAAGTAAATAAGTTAATTATGAGCAAAAGTTTATTAACTTGCATTTTTACAGATCTAACGCACTTAACACTTGCGGTATTGGTCTTCCCATTTATTTTTCTTGAATTAACTACATTTATTTTATTTTTATCTGAGTTTCATAGTTCCGTAACTAGCGCATACGATTTTCGACCTTGTATTAAGGAACTTTGCTAAAATGATTTAGTCAGTTTAATAATTATTTACCAGAATTTATGAACGCCATTAACAGTAAATATTTATATACATTCTATTAGGTTAGTATTTTTATACGGGATTCGAACCCAGAACCTCTCACACCAACAAGATACCGCTGAAACCTTTTCTCTAAGCAAAATGACGTCTCACAAAACGACAAATGGTAATATAAAGAAAAGTTTACTAGAAAAAAAGGGCCGTGGTAGCATAATGGTCAGTGCATTCGCCCGGATTGCGAAGGGTGCGGGTTCGAGTCCCGTCCGCTGCCTGGTCCGCGTGGATTTTTTTCTAGTAAACTTTTCTTTAGGTTAAAACATCTAGCAGTTAAATGCTTAAAAATAAATAAAAACATAAATGGTAAAATGATATACAGGTAAGTTATTCACCTTTCATCCTGCGTCTCTGGTACATATTTCTGAACCAAATTAACAACTTTTTTCCTGGTCCTGGTGTTTGGGGCACCGATTATAGGTTCCAATTTTCTCTCCTTCTTAACCCAAGGCTTTTCGTCATTTAAGTGGCGAGTATAATCCCCTCTCCATATGCTAGGATGAGAAGCTATACCTTTCTCTTTCCATGAAGCGGTTTTCACTTTGGCATCCTAAGAAAGATTTTTTTTCTGTCAAATAATTTTTTTGAAAAGCACTCTAACAAAGAGGGAAGAAACAAATAATCAAGTTTTAAGTAACTAATCATAAACTAAAACCTGCAGGGAGTTAAATGTCTACCTTTATCTCTTTTATAAAAAGTGTTTATGACATAACATAGTTTTCTGTGATGTCACTGCTCTGGGTATCGCAGTATACCAGTGCAGGAGGAATTTTACCTGCTGTGTATGTTGAGCCATATCCAGTGTTGGCATCATATAAAATACACATTTATTATCTGTAGTTGTTTTTTGTTCTTGTAATTTTTTTTTTGTGTTGTGTTTTACTTTGTTATATGTATTTTTGCATTGTATGTGTATGTTATGTGATGTCAACAATAAGAACATTTTTCTTTCTTCTTTTTCTTTCTTTCTATATGATATAATATCCTTCCCTGCTATGAATGAAAAGAGTAGCGGTCAGCAAAAACTTATACAATCAGGGCTCTTAAACAAACTAAAGAAATTTATCATGATTTCTGAAGACCTTTTATATCAGAAGTTTTTACAAAACTAGTGAAAATTTGCATTTTGCGAGATGCCTAAATATTTTATCTATAGTCATATTTTAAAACCTCTATTAAAGGTTCTGTAACAGTTAGCTTATCGCCAACATTAAAACATCCAATGTCATAATTAAAAATAATCATTATAACACCCGTTTTGGTGTTAATGTCATTTTTTTAATAAATCTCATAATAACACTCCCCCACTTTTTAAATCCCTTCCGCGCCAAGGGATTACTCATCGGACAGCCACAATTTACACTACTCGATGCGTGGTATTATGAATTTCAAAAAATTGATCATTGTCATTCACGCGCGTTTCACTACTACAGCGCCGAAACTTTTCATGAATTTTAATTTCTTAGTAAGCCCCATGGTTTCAGAATGAAATTATGAACAGTTGCATACAAGACTTTATCCAAGCCCCTGATATGAACCCTCTATAAAAGATTTCAGCATTCAGCGCCATTAACACCCACAGACATGATAAACCCACCCCTTCGTGTTTTAATAGCCCCCCCCCCCCCCCCCCCCCGATACAACAGTTGCATAAGTAATTATTCTAGTTCTTCCAAATATTCACTTTACCACATAATTAAATCAAAACACTAGTACAAACTTTTTTTGAATAATCTTATTCCATGAGTTAGACTTGAAAGAAGTACATACTTAAGTATCTAAATAATTTATAAAGTTTGTCGTTTTTAGTTTTCCCAATACACCTTAAAGGGCAAAGGGATTACAAGGGCACCAAATATGATATGTAGATGAATTTTAACGCGCATTTTGATCAACTCGAAGCAGAAATAAAGCATAATGTGTATATAATAATCAGGATTTTTCGAAAATCGTAAGAAAGAGGATGAAAGTTTGTATGAAAAATCTTATTCTTCGAGCTAATAGCATAATGTGTATATATTAATCAGGATTTTTCGAAAATCCTAAGAAAGAGGATGAAAGTTTGTATGAAAAATCTTATTCTTCGAGACTTAAAACTTACTGAAATCAAAACCGTGAACAGACTGATAAAAAATCAGATTGGGCAAAAATCACCTGCTCAAATTAGTGATTCCAAGCATACGAAGTCGCGGGTACAAACTAGTTTACTGTAAATACGTACCGTAACAGCGTTGTCCGGATGCCAATCGTCCATTTTCCTCAACGAGAATGGATCTAGATTGCCCAACGCTAACTGGAATGCGATCTCATCCTCTAACAAATTTCCCGCGTTCACGCACAAAGCTTGCTCTACGTCTAGAACGAAACGGAAATTAGATATAAGGACCTTCAGAGCATCGTTTACAAGATAAAATTGTAACACATATTTAAAAGTATAGATCTAAAGAAAATATTACTAAAGAAAAGTAAACAGAAAAAATTTCACGCGGACCAGGCAGCAAACGGGACTCGAACCTTCGCTACCCGGGAGAATGCACTGACCATTATGCTACCGCGGCCCTGACGGCCGAGTCGAATTTTCTCTAGCCTTAGGCTGCAAGGCTATTATTATCTTTTTCGGCAGAAAAAAAATCTAATACACTTTTCTTTAGATTTAAACATCTAGCAGTTAAATGCTTAAAAAATAAAAACTATAATTGCTATTTCTTCTTTCAAATGTTTGATACTTGTAGAGTATTCATTTGACGATGACGGGATTCGAACCCGCGTCTTTTTCAATTATGCTACCAAGACCTTAATGGCTGTCTCGAATTTCCTCTAGTATTTCTTAGGCTGCAAGGCAGCGCCATCTCTTTGCATTGTGGGTTACCTACAATGCAAATAGATGGCGCTACCTTGCAAACATAAAAGTCGAACTGAGTGAAATTTTTCTCAACGATATTTTCTTTAGATTTTAACATCTAGCATATTTGTTTTTTAGGTTTTCACCCAATCCACTCAAAAATTGAACCATTGAAACTTCTTTTATTTGACATGTAGCTGTTAATTGCTTAAAAATTAAAAGATATATATATATATAGTATCCATAGATCATATTCTAAAGTTGTATTTTAAATTTTTCACACAACTGTCGCAATATTTGGTCACCCATCCAATGATAGACCACTGCGAAAGTTGCTTGACTTCAACGAACGCAGTTGAACGCGCCGAACCACTTGCGCCATCGAACTTCTCCGCTTACTGCTGTAAGACAAAATTACAACTAAAATCAAAGTTTAAAATTCATTACCTTCGTCATCGGGTTCTGTGAGTCTAACCATCTTCCTTTCCAGCGGATCGTAAACGTATTGGTGCTTGAACGTCGCCTCCGCCTTAAGGAAACTCTCTCTGTACTCGTCACTCACGACCAAAGATGAGCGGTTGAAAAAACTCGGCAACTTCCTTAAGGCCTAAAAATAAAAATTTACTACATGTCGTTATTGGTTCCTAGGCAAAAACGCACGTTCTCCTTTAATTGCCAATTCTAAGTGTAGTCATAAGATAGATTAAATTGAGCCGATGCAAAATACTTACATTAGCAAAATTAGAGTCCTGAGATGCATTCACAAACTGTCTGGCCTTAGCCAAACCTATTCCTGGCAAAGACGGCAAGTAGTCGCACCCTGACATGATGCACATTCGTCGAAACTTGTCGAATCTGTAGTGCTCTATGGGACATTTCATGACCAACGGGAGTTGAGCTGTTTCCACTAGTGTACCAGTACCATCCAAGTCCATTTTAAAAAGAACCTGGAATATTAATAGTATGCTTTTGTAAGTATTCAAACAGAAAAATTACCAAGCCCCACAACTACCAAAAAACCATAATGTTACAGATTGATAAAAATGTTCTCCAGGTGGCATTGCCGCAACCCATTGCGGCAATGCCGGGGATCCCATGCCGATTCGTCGGTCTAGCCCCATCGTAATCAGGGGGAGAAGGGCAGAACATCGTGCGGAAGAGCATAACAAACAACCCGGACATTGACACCAACAATGCGAAGTACCGATGGCCGCTATCAACCGCTCCCGGCCATCCGTCTTCTTCGGGTAGCGAATGGCATGATTCAGGTATGGTGCGAGGACGGCAGTTCCCTGACCTGCATGACCCTGAATGTGCCCAAAATTAAATTACCCAACACTGCCGCCACACTGACTGTGATGAGACAGTCAGACATGCCGACCCGTCTCCGAGCAGTGCTTCGTACCCGGGTATAAGGAGGACATAGCGCGACTCTAGAGCGTTCAGAGTCGACAGAACAATTGGTACGACATTGGGAGATTGTCGCTGTAAAGGGCAACATCAGTCAGTGGTAATAACCACGGGACTTATTTGACCCTGCTCATCCCACCGGATGAGGTCGAAAGTTTTGGGGCGGGAGCGACGTGTTTCGTACCTATTAGACTAAATATGCTTCTACCCAAAACCCAACCCCCAGACACACAGACTGTAACAACCTCCTGTTTAAACTTTTAGAAGTTATATAACAGTTTAAAAACTTGATAGGTTTGCATGCTTTACCCATTGTCAAACAGCAATTCTCTAGCTTGGTATATATTTTGGTAAATCAGAACAATTGTGGTTTAGGTTAAAAATTTAAAATTATATATTTTGCTTGCTATTTGAACTCTGTTTGAATTGATCTGCTAAATGAAAACAATAGTGAGAAGTTGCCAGCCGGTCTATCTCTTATATAAATAAATAACAAACCTTCTCAGTAACCAACTTGTACATTTAACATTTACATGGGAACTACATATTCAATGGAAAACTTAACTGGCTTGCAGAGCCTAAATCTAATAATCCAATTATGTTGTTCACTATCCCAATCATGCTCTTGATTAAGGTGCCTTGCCAAAACTAGGTTAAGAAACATGGGATCAAACAGCTGGCACATTTATTTTTTTATCTTACCTCCCAGACCTGTATGCAAATCTTTGATCCAAATACTTCCGTATATTTAAAAAAGTTTTGTAATTATTTTCTTATTGAATAAATAAGTAAATTATATAATTCTTACCTTAGTACAACCAAATAATATAAGATCAGAATCTTCAGTAATGATCAGATGAGCTATATTCTTAATATTCAGGTAAGCCAGCTGCGCATCAGCTTCATATGGGGCCACTATGCAATCTACATTCCGATTCCTACATTCCTTAATCAGAGCCAGTGCCATCGCATGGGTAATGTCCACACTTCGTCGCATATATGATCTAGCTTCATCTATCTGAAATAATAGTCAAGAAAGTATATGAGTGATTGATAAACAAAAATAAAATGCAATACACATATAGAAATTATCTTTTCATACCTTTCCAAGACTCAATAATTCTGCTGCCCTTTTCTTGGAAGTATCACGAGATCTACAAAACCATAAATTGTATTATTACCAGCATAAAAATAAATAAAATTCTTCTATTCACGACATTTAATTAGTGTGAAGTCAAGCAATGCTAACTAAGAAAGCAAAGGAGAATGCCCATTTAGTAAGGAGACTTGGGCCCCTTTGAAAAATAGTTGTGCCCTGAAGTTTGTTGTTGGAGGTTGTAGGAAAAATACGCTATATGCACATTCAAAAGGAATTTCCAATTTAGTCACCCTGGTTCACGAGATATAATTTATTTTCTGTTGTGGAAATTGAGGTTATAAAATAGCTTGACATTAACATTTTCTCCATGCTTTTCTTAACTAGGTCCTATCTACATCACTATATTGATATAAACTTGCATAATATATTATAATGTATAAAAGCACAATAATGTTTCAGTGAGCTATCAGGCAGCCGGTCAGGGCCGAAGCTAGGTGGTGGTGGTGCATTATGGGCTTTAGGGGGCAATGCCAATACCAAAACCCTACCTTAAAAAATAGCATCGACTTAATACGCATTATACAGCATTGAACTAATTCGGGGGGGAGGGAGGGGTAATCCTGCTTATGCCATTGAGTAACTCGAATGACAAAAATCATTTGAGTACCAATGAAGATAAAAATCGAGTGATTTTCCACCATATTTATGTCTCTTACCGGTACATTGCAATTTACTATTTATATAATCTGATAAAAATCCGAATTTACTTTTAGCGAACATAACGAGTTTAATATCGATTAATCAATTAAGTTTATTAATACCTGGCAACATTATACCCATCGAGAAATACGTCACCAACCAAGCCATAAATATAAAAAAAAATATGTCAAGCGGAAATTGGGCAAATATCTAATTAATTATAACTTAATACCCAGGGTGAAAAAAATTACGATATAAATGTCACCAGCATCAAAATATAAATTCGATTTTTAGGTACATATTTGAATTAGGCACAAGAAACCTCAAAAGGGGCCCATGATTGGGCATTCTCCTTTAAATAATGTACATAAACAGCAAGTACAGATAAATAGATTAATTCTAGTCATCATGCAAATAAATTAGGGTTCGAACCCAGGGTGTTTAGAGCAGAAAGTTTATGTTAGTCTAGTAGAAGTATACTCACTCTCTTCGCTTTGATTCAGTCAGTGCTTTTGCTGGGAGGTGTCTACCATCAAAAACCAATATTGGTTTGATATTATTAGATAATAACATCGATACATATTTCAAGCAATACTTTATGTGGCTGAAAACATTCCAAAGCTAACATTTAGTAACATCTAGGAGCTTACTTAGTGTACAAGGCGAAAATAGAAAATAACTAAAACTTTTAAACTTACATGTCTGTTTCTTCACCTCTTACCAGTTTGTCAGCACAAGCGAAGGCTCCTTTGTGGAGCCAACAGTAAGAATCAATAGCTACGGTAGAACCACTAAATTCGCTAACATTAGCGCGTCTTGATGCCTTTTCAAGAAAAGGTATCAAACCCGTAATACCCATAATTATTTCTTACTAAACTTTATTGATTACATATCTTACATTTCACAAAATCTTCCAGCACCTTTGCAGAATTTGATTTTATTCATAATTTTTGGAGAAAATCGATCTAAATAAACACGACACAGCTGTGAGGAAGGAATTCTCCCTGTCAAAACATGAGGAAATGTCAATGTTCGCGCCATTTTCTTATCTTGTTGCATTTACAAAGCTTGGTTAGAAACTATGACTTGTTTAAAAAAGCAAATAAAATGAATAAAAACGCATAATTTTTTAACGTAAAAAATTGATTTTTTTATATTTTCAGCTATTTTTATGGAAATTCATTAATAGAAAGGCCATCATGTATACCTATACGTCTACGACCTGCTATAATCTGCTCCAATAATCCAAATTCCCTTGTATCATGAATTGATCACATTAATTATACTAATCTTTGATTGATCACGAATCAATGGTTTACATTAGTGCTATAATCCAAAAGCACTTACTTTAATTTTAATTAGAATAAATTAGGTTCTAAAGTACCTCTTAAGATTTACTCTTAAGTAAATCTTAAGAGGCCTGGGGCGCCAGATTTTAAAATACACAAAATATTAACTATAATGCGATTCAAATGTGAATAGGAAAGCCAATGATCTCCAATTGTCAAATGTCGCCTAAAAAGTACGGTTTGCAAAAAAATCTCGGAACACTTTTTTAGCACTCGGCTGATTCTAGAATAAAAACCAAACATTTTTATACAAACAATAACAAATGTTAATAATTAATATTAGTTGCTCTTTTTCTCATTTATTTAGCTTTGGCTATGAATGGTTGATAACCTAAATCGTCAACCAAAAGTCAGTTTATGTTGCGTTCAAAAACTCAATTTAAAACTTTCGTCTACATATAGGATGCATCTTCGTATGTAATCTGCATGATTATTCATAACTTCTCCGGCGGTAATCCAGAGTTGGGCGAAATTGAAGAGCTAGATTCTTATTAATGTTTTTTTTTCACACAGACTTAATAAAGAAATACTATTAAAAATCGATTGTGTTCTTTCTCAACCTTAGTAAATTAATTTTATTAAAAAATTTGATGTTCTGCCTCACTTAATCTTAGTAAATAAGTTTCATTAAATAGCAACATTTTTTTGCTCACTCTACCTATTTGGTTTGAATTGACAGCTATGACGTCAAAATATAGCGCCCAGTCGATCCTATTCTTAGTTGAATCGCATTAAATAGATTATACCCAAACACCCAAGCGCGAGTGTTTCATTTCATTAATCATATTCCTACGTAACCCACGCAAGCGTTTCCAAGTTACTCTTAGTAGTAGTAGTACGGCGGGCTGTTTCCGCAACTCGACGACTAGTGCCTATTTTGCGTGGGGATTGGCATCAGTCCTGCCAAGTTCCAAGTTACTCAGTATTGTCACTACTGGACATCACATCGAATCGAGTATATTCTAGCTAGTATAATTGAATGATCAAACGAACTGAACTAAGTTAAGTTCGATCCGAATTATCCTTTTATCGCCGAAGAGATTTAGGATCTCGGCCACCCTAATATTTATTGTGACTGGCGGCGATATGACTTTTGTTAACGTCCAGCCACCGTCCAGCTGGATTCATACTTTTGCATACAGTTGCGGGACAAAGCTTTTGTAGCTGAAATTGCCTTCTTGATTTGCATACCTGAATGAATTGTCCAATACTTTTTATTCCTCAAGAATTTTTCATCAATTCCCAAGTTTTCGCTAATGCATACAATCATCATTGCCACATTTAAAGTTGAGGCCTTGATCAAAGTAAAGTTTCTCAGAAGAAGGTACTTGTGCTTAAGAATGTTGTCCATTTCTTCTTATTGGCCAAGTGCGCCAGGACGATTATGCCAATAATGGCTTATTATGACTTTGCACTCGAGAACATGTTTGCCCCTTACCGTGGCTTCTTCTTTGAATACTCAATGGGTTCCTAGAAAACCTGGTCACGAAAGACATGGCCACAGGCCTGCAGGGCTGATAAAACACACATTGTTGAGGATTCAAAAATGCTGCATCATACCCCGGGATCAAAAAACAAGAATATTTGCACATTTATTGTAGGTATTAATAAATTATAAATTTAAATAAAGACAGAAATCTACAATTAGCTCATGTTGAAGTTGACATGAAATTGAAATGAAAGATCTTATTAATATATCTAGTATTAAGAAATTGAAATTTTAACTAAAAATAGTCTGGTTAAATCTCTTATAGACCATGATAGAAATATCATGAAATTGAAAATATAAAGAATCTGGTAAATATTGCCTGGTATGCCCATGATAAGATTATTTGTCAAATTGAAAAACACGTATTAACTCTGAACAAAATTACCTCTGTGTTAGCAGCTGAAATTAGAAATGAAAATCTGGTTAATTAAGTCGTGTTAGAGGTTTAGCTGCGATGTTGAAACTAAGAATAAAAGGAGTTAATCAATATAGTATTAACTCGACTCAATAGTCAATAAATATCGTTCTATATCATATTTTAACTGTTTCATATCTACCAATTTTGACTACGTTTAGATATTATTCTGAAAAATAAATCACTGGTCTCCATTACTTGTAGAACTGATTTATATTAGACTGCGTGGGGTCGTGGAGCGTGCGAACATAACATAAGTATGGGTATGAGCATCGAACCGACCGACTAGCAACGGCGGCATCGGCAGGGCGTTGTAAAGAGAGGGGATACCTCCCCCTTTTACTATGCTCTAAACTGTGTGCAGACTGACTGGTCATACTGAGGGTACTATTTAATAAACAAAAATAAATCTCGGAGGCGATAACAGGATAAAATAAATAATAATTTTAACAAGATAGAACAGCCACTCTTTGAATAGAAAGTTCATTGTACGGTGCACATCGACAATGAAAAAAAAAATGGTTGCCTGTAAAGTCGGTTTTACGGGCGAAGATTTTACGTGACAACGTCTTTTTCTCGGTAGAATATTTATTGATATGAATATAATTAAATTGCACAATAGGAACAAGGAATTGAATGAAAATAAGAATTGCACAAATTTTAACTATAGAAATATATTTTGTTTACTAAAACATTGTACATGTAAACTTAAACTTAACACGAGAGACTCATCGTAACGTTACCGAGCGTTACACTTTTTCATAAGTGACTCCCAGCCGCAACCTAATTTAAGACGTTGTCACGTCAAAAAATAGCATGAATACCTACTTACTTACATAATATTACAAAGTACACAATGCATGCCCAAGTAACGATTTGTAGAAATGAAAAAAAATGTAGGTAGAAACAAAAACTACATATTGCGGCATTATAAAAATTTAGCACAGACTGACCTCTTTATTTTATTTCACGTTATAAAGTATATAGACGGTAAAAGTGCGAAAAATTTATGTTTGAAATTACTTAAAATGTTTATAAATCCACGTATTCTGTCCACGGCAGCGGCAATAGCGGTTTCTTGTGTTGTTTCTGCGGCGGCATATTATTACAAACGTCGTAATACGGAAATAAACGAAGTCATGATATTTTGTAAATTGCAATACAATGCATATAATTGCTTCGACAAGCTAATAAGTTTTATGGAATCTGCAAAGAAAACCGTCCATGTATGTATGCCTGGCATCCATAATCCTGCAATCCAAGGAAGATTGGTCGAGCTCATAATGAAGAAGAATATTAAGGCTCGCATAATAATAGACCGTTCTGGATACAATGAATCAACAGAATTCCTATTGCAAGAGCTCAAAGAAGTCGGTATGTACAGGCCTTTGATTATATAGTCAGTAGTGGCCGCCCGCGTTAACTTTGGTTTTTTAAGTATCTAGAAAGAGCCTAATATTTTTAAGAGATGAACAGTAACCTATGTCTTAATTCGGGTAATAAACTGTACGAGTGCCAAATTTCATCTAAATCCGTTCAGCCCTTTTAGCGTGCTTGAGTAACAAATATACAAACACAAATGTGAAACATTTATAAGTAGGATAGGATAAGAGATAGGATTATGTCACGCCGCATTCGCCTTACTCAATAGTCTAATCAAAACTATTTTATAAATGCGTGTGTCTGCCTGTTACCGCTTCACGCTTAAATACGCCTAAACCAATTTAGATGAAATTTGGAAAAGAGATAGCTTGAGTCCCTGGAGAGGACATAGGATAGTTTTAAGCCTTAAAGTGAAAACGGGCGAGAGTGGAAGTATGTATGGGAAAACAATTTCTCAACGAAGATGAAGTTGCGGGCACAAAGTAGTATCCTTCCTATAATAAAAAAATATGTTTTTATATTTGTTACTCAATTTTGCAAAAAAACAGCTCAGCTGATTTGGATGAACTTTGGCTCACATATAGTTTATTACCTGAATTGAGACAGGATACCTTATATCCCGAAAAATTTTAGGTTCCTGTGTAGTAATGATAATAACTATAAAGTGGAAGAACTCGTGGGAGGTTAGGGGATTTCACAATAAATTAAATTCCCAAACCGTCGCGACGGCGCGGCGTGACGTGATAGATGTCTCTGTTTGACTTAGAAACCGTGTCCTGGCTAAAGTTCCAGTAGTTTCCAACCTAAAGTCTATGATAAACTTATTTTTTTCTTTACTTAATTTTTATACTTTAATAGTAAATTAATTTCTTTTTTTGGAGGTGTTTAACATTAATTAAAATGATACATACAGGAGCAGAAATAAGGAGCTTAGACAATGAAGCCATTAACAAAATGCAACACAAATTTTGCCTAGTCGATGATGAAGTACTTATGACAGGAACTCTAAATTGGGGGAACGATCGATCATCAGACCACTGGAATTATGTTTACATCACTAATAAAACACAGTTAGTTGAACCAGTAAAAAAAGGCTTCTACCAAATGTGGAATGAATTCTCTAGTGAAATAACAGCTGCTACAGATTCTGAAAAGCAGGATAATAGTGATGTAACTGCTAACCTATTAGAGGAAAACTTTGTTTACATTGATGATTTTGATACAAACAAGCTCAACCGAACAGCTACTCCCGAATTATGTTTAGTGTAAGATTTATATCATTTATTATGTATTTTCTTAAATGAAACTGTTACAAATGTTTTCAAAACAGGACATGCCCAGTATTTTATCAAACATTAACAATCATTTTATGCCATAGACTTTATATTGTTGTAGTAATCTAATTATGTAATTGTGTTTTACTAATATGATTTTAGGTGAAGCTGGTATTTTCAGTGTGTTTTACTCTTGTAATTGTTTAACTATTTTTACAGTTAGCTATTATTTTCCATTTCAAGGTTTTTCCATGATATGAAACTGCTTTTTGAAGAAAAGTGTTTCTTCATCTTATTTTTTTATTTCACCAATTCTATTTTTCAATATTATTCTGTCTTATTGTGAACTTGCAATCTTTAAAATAACAAAATATTACATGTTACAACCAGCTTAATGAAATATTTATAAATTATTTATTTTTAGAAAATATTATTTATGTATACTGAAATAAATTAATTCAATATTCTTTAATATTTTTAATTTTTAAATTCTATGCACAATCAGTAATAAGTACTTATTTATCTAAGCTTACCTGCTATGAGTACAGTAATTAAATAAACTTATTCTAATAATATCAAATCAAGAATACAAAATATTATTCCCTAATAGCTTTGTATTTAGCAATTTCATTAGGAAATGTCTTAGATAGCTCTTGAAGTAGATGGCTCTTAAAGCGTTTATATGAATCAATTTTTCCTTTTACTTCTTCATTCTTAGCAAGAGCTTTATCAATACAATCCTTTGTATACAGTTGTGGATTGCGTCCTTGATCAATGTAGCTGAAAAAAGCAAATAAAGAGTTGTGAGAAACACTTTCAAAATAATAGAAAATAATATTCATTTTAAATATATACAGGGCGTCTCACAGGTTTGTCACACGGAGGAAAAGTATAAAGGTATATATAATATTGAAGGTAGGATATTTTACTGACAGAAGACATCATTTTATTTTTAATAATAACTAGAACTGCATTAACAGTTTTTTTTAAATCACCTGCTACAACTGTGAATCAAACCCGTGAAATTTGAAAAAAAAAACAACATATTTTATGTTAACTATCTAAAGGGTAAATCATAACGATTAATTTTTCATCATAAAATTTAATTTAGTTCAGTTAATTATCCTCATACTCTTCCGTGCTTCCAACAGATAATGTTATTATTTCAAAGTATTTATTAACTAATACCTGCTCACTTAATAATACAGGATTTCATTACTTCATTCTAAGTGAATCTCTTCTTCTATGTGAAAAAATAAAACAAAACTATACTTATACAAATCTAGCAAGCACCATTTCTCTTTAATTGTAGTTTGTGTTCAATTTTAAAAAAGAAAAGTCAAATTTCCTGATTTTTCCTTCATTTAAAATGCTGTTATTTAGGAAAAAGTAATCCTCGTGATTTACCCTTTCGACTGTTATCATAAATAACATGTTTGTTTCTTCCACAAGTTTGATTCCCAGTTTTGGCAGGGGATTTTTTAAAAACTGTGAAAGCACTACCTATTATAAAAAAAATGATGTCTTCTTTCATTAAAATTGCCTATCTTCAATATTTAATATACTTTCCCTCTACGTGACCAACCTGTGGGACGCCCTGTATAATGTTGATAATAAAATTATAAAGGTACTGTTTTAGTATTCAAATAATACTTACTCAAATACTTCAGTTGGTACATGAATGTCGTGAACTTGTGACTTCAATTTATCCACTTCTTGTAATCCAGTTACCAAGGACTGTCTGAAAATATTTTTCAAAGATGTGTATTACGACACTCGAAAATAGGTACCTATAAAATTAATTCTCATATTATAGTTTACTTACATTTTTTGATTTAATACACTTTGCCCCTGTGGCTGAAAATCACTTACAATAATTCTAATTTGTCGAACATTTTCTATGAACATCTCTAGCTGTGTCTCAAGATTCTCTAATGGTGAAGACATGATGACCATATATTTTGCAACTGAAGCAAAGTATCTACAATCCGCACTATAATTTTAAATAAAATGGCTATGATTAAATTGGAAAAATTAAGAAGTTATGAATTTAGTAACATACTTCTTTCTTTGATTTATGTGCAGCAAGCACCACAGATGTGGATGTGGACGACGAGCACAGCACCACAGACTATTTAGATACTACGTACACAGCACGCACAGACTATTTCAGTGTTACCAGAATGCCATTTCGCCTTCCCCCCAAAACTTACCGGAAATTCCCCCAAAATGCATGTTTTTTAAGAAAAAATCCTCCAAAAAGAAAAATATTTATTAAAAATAAAATATTTACTACAAAGTGTGTATTATTGCAACAGCAATCAGCATCCATTACTGGATCAACAGCTTCGCACGCGGCGTCTTTTCCACTCCTTTGTCAATCTTCTTACATAACTTTGTTTTAATAATGTCATTATTTTACCGAGGTGCCAACAAATAAAAGGATAAATTACCAACAATTCACAAAGTAGGACTTAGCAAAGCAAAGATGATACTGTCTATTGGATTTGCAGTTTAAGCTTTTTTTTGCACTACCTTTAACTACTGACTGCTGCTGGACTTGACTGACCGAGCGACTGAGCGAGACGGAATGGATCGAAGTATACTTTTATAAGTGGGTTTTGGACTCCATAGTGTATATAGCAGATGTTCAGTTGTTATGTGGAGACCGATTTCTTTTTCAAGGGACTACTTTCTATTGACTGAATTTTTTAGTTGGTTATAAGATCTCAGCAACGACGGACGTACAATTTTGATAATTAAGGTTGATTTGTGTTTTATTTGTGAGAAGTCTCTAATTGAAGGTGATTCTGTTGATGTAGTGAGTGACTTGAAATCTTTAAAAACTGCAAGTACAGTTTATCTATAAAGTCGTGACATGAATGTTTGAGGAACTAACATTATTCATGTGTCTGGCCACACCAAACTTATGTACATCAGCTGTCATCGAGTTTCAGTTGTGGAACAGTTTTCCTTTTGTATTTTTTATTGTTTGGATTAAACTGTAATAAATTAAGACGAAACTACACAGAAAGGTATAAAAATGAGTAAAGTAAATCGGAGTAGCACGCTCGAAGTATTTTTAAAGTTTTCCAGCGGTGTTTCGAAGACTACCAAGCTGGACGAATTTTGTGGGGTTTGGATGATGTTTATGGGCGAACAGCATCTATGACTGGTATGTAATCGTGTAACGATTTATTTGTAATCTCCCTGAAGTAAATTTTTAACTCAATTTACAATTTTGAGACCAAGAAAGGCATTGTTTACATTACACATTTTTAGGTTAGATTGACATTGGTGCCAATTCTGGCGTGATTCTCTAAACTTAAAACTAAATTTAATATCAGTCTCTCCTTTTCATTCTTTATAGAGAATGACAAGGATATACTGCTGTCAAATTTAAGTTTAGATTTAGAGAATCATGCTAGAATCGGCACCAGTGTTGCCAGACGGTCTCCGTGCCTTCCCCCTAGCGTCGCTCAGTTTCCCCCCAAAAATCCCCTGAATGCCCCCACTCGCCTGCTCGCCTACTTTCTGAAGCACGAAATTCAAATCACGAAAATATATAATTCTAAATCCCGAAACATACGCCTTGAAATAGAATTATACATAATAACGAGTAAAATAAAATGAATTAAAAATATATTTAACGGAGAATATTAGTTTTATTTTTTCAAAATAACATTTTTATAGAAATTATCACATATATTCGTATCTTAAGTGGAAAAAAAATACATAGAGAAGAATATCAATTAGTCATGGATGCTCTCGACTTTTAATGACTGTTTGCGATGAAGATACTGATTCGTATCAAAATTCATCACTGGGGAAAACATTAAGGACTTCGAGGTCACTATCATTGATGTTGTTATAAACATTTTCAGAAGTGAAACGTTTGAGCATGAGAACCGTAGGCTTGAAATCGCGGCAATCGACTCCAAGCCTGAGTCGGACGTGCATTATTGCCTCTACAATTGCAATTGACATTCTGTTGCGCAGTTTGTCTTTAACAATATTTAATATTGAAAAAGCTCGTTCGACCGAAGCGTTCGAAAACGGTAAGCACAACAGAGCAAGTACGAGCTGCGCAATATTACCGAACCGTTTTTGTCCGCCAACATTTTTAATGTCGAAAATCTTCGGTATTTTGGAGGTTCAAAACTTTGGCAGTGTGAAGAAGATTCCATTCCTTCACAGTACTGTCGATGTCAGTGCACACACTGGCTTTAAGCTTGGTTGCTATCTCAGTGATATCGACTTTAACTTGAGATGAAGCTACGTTCGGCGAAAAAGTCGACAGTTTTTCGAGAATTTTTATATTCTCGGGCAATCTTTTTTGCAATTGTTGGCACAATGTGATTAAAAAATTCCTGCATCTTTCTTTAATATTGACCAGCGTTTCAGGCTTGATGCTCGAAGCAAGACTGTTGATATCGTATCCGAAATTTACACATTGCAAGCTCATTAAGTGTTGAAGAAAATCAAAGGTCCCGAGTTCATAGCGCGATACTTTCTGAAGTTGAGATGGTACAACGATGGTTTGCAGGTGACTGTACATCAGATTGTTAAGGTCTTCGAAAAGTTTGACGGGATCAACGTTCTGAGACTGAAACAACTTATTCAGTCCTACAACACCTTTCAGGCTATTGGCGAGAAATGTTAGAAATAGCTTGTTTTCGGGTGTGGCGTACATTGCGTGCAATTGAGACGCTATATAACAGCGCTCGTCGTTACTTTCAGTGATTTGGAAATGAAGTTTCAACGCATCCACACATTGCTCCAATATTGTTTCAACAGCCTGAAGTCGAACTAACCAACGCGTATCGGACATTTTAACAATTTTTTTGGCAATTTATCTGAAAGCGTTTGATAAATTTTTGCATATGCAATTTGTCTTTTGGTACTATGGGTGAACCAAAGGTGGGTTTCCCGTACCAAAAAATCCATATGCCTTGGCAACGTCTTGCAGGCTTGTTCCGCGGCGAGATGCAGTGAGTGACAAATGCATGTTATTATAATGAGCTCTGGGTGTATAAAAAACGAATAACTGATTAGTGTGTTAAAAACTGTACAAAAGAATGAGGTTTTGAGGTTATTGCGGTTAGAAAAGGTTACTCGTAATATAGGTTAGGGTTTGTGGATAAAACCCGTGGACAAAAACAGTTTCAATATTGACAGGGGGTTCCCTCTGCCAATATTTGTTCATCATATCTCCGTGGCGCAGCAGTCAAGTGATTCAATCAAGTTTAACCCGCGACCGCGACCACCCGACTTCTTAATATCTGACGATTCGTTCGGTTCGTTATGCAAATGACTTTATTCTTTCAAATTATCGAAAAGAATAACTTTCTCAAAAATAATTCGCGTTTTTTTGAAAAACCCCTAAAAAATCCCCTAAAAAATTTTTCCCCCTGTTTCTCCCCTGAGCCCGACGAAATACCCCTAAATCTAGGGGGAAATCCCCTGATCTGGCAACACTGATCGGCACCATTGTAAATAGGTAATATTGTAGTACGACCATTTCTCTTGATACGTTATTATGGTTCAACTACCAATTTTGAATTAATTGCTTCATGTCAATAAGTTATTATTTTATTCCGTTACATATTTTTTTACTTTTTTTTCAGGAAAATCAGAGAGTCGGATAGTCAACGAAGGTTTTAAGAATGAGGGAAAGTTTGAAACTCCTGGGAAAACAGGCAAGGCCGACCAAAGAAAGAAATGGTCACATAAAGAACCATGGCCAGATGCTTTTAGTGAAGATACCTATCACTAATTTTACATTTACAAATTGTTTCTCTAAATAAACTTTTTATATACTATAAAATGATTTTTAGTATTATTTTCTTAACAAGTGTGTTAAAAAACGTTGTATGATGATACTTGTGTTTATTGATGACTAGAGGCCACCCGCGACTTAGTCTGCGTTAACATAGTTTCTTGAAAATCCCTCTGGAACCTAACATTTTTTCGGGATAAAAGTAGCCTTTGTGTTAATCTAGGGCGTCAGTTAATTCCACGCCAAATTTTATTAAAATCGCTCCAGCCATTTAGACGTGAAGAAGTAACAAACATACACACTCTCATACTCACAAACTTTCGCCTTTATAATATCCGTGACTTAGTCTGCGTTAACTTAGTTTCTTGAAAATCCCTCTGGAACCTAACATTTTTTCGGGATAAAAGTAGCCTATGTGTTTATCTAGGGTGTCAGCTAACTCCATACCAAATTTTATTATAATCCATCCAGCCGTTTAGACGTGAAGATGTAACAAACATACACACTCATATACTCACAAACTCTCGCCTTTATAATATTAAGTGTGATTACCTAACGGCTCTGGTCTCAATGGCACCTCAGTGGTAATCACCAACATTATACACTTTTACACTATAAAGTACTATTTTATCTATAATAATTTTATTCTGATTCGATTAAATATGCTTGGCTAAACTTTTTATAAGCATAAGTACCTACTATATATAAAACAGAAACAAAATACGACTGTATAGCGTGTCTTATTAATTACCTGTTTTACTTAAATGAACTGCTAGTATCAAAACCATTTTGGTCCGACTGTATAGGGTTGCTACATGCATACTAGTGGCGCCATCATTTAATGTCACGACTTTATAGACAAACTGTACATCTGTTTGTTACAGCTCTAATGCCGTGTAGTGTAGTAGGTAGTCTGTGAGTGTAGGTATTGAACCAAAGAGAAAAGATATATAAAGGTTTGAATACCAAAACTTAACGACAAATCACAAATGCAAAGCGCCGCAATTTTAGTAATGTTAAGCAAGGGTTACCAGTTAAAAAAATACTATTTTATAATACTAGCAACTCTGTAGCTAGTTTCGCGGCGGGAGTTTTTGGCGGGATTTCATCGAGTGCGGTTGGCGTCTTATTTGAATTATTCTTAAATTCGTTCATAGTAGATATTGTAAAATAAAATTGGTGTGATTTTGTGTTACAAGCAACTGAAGAATTAGTGGAATCTTTAAAATATACGCTATTCCAGTCAAGTGGACGTGAGAACTTTACTGTAGTGCTGACGTTTTTTTTTTTGACGTGACAACGTCTTAAATTAGGTTGCGGCTGGGAGTCACTTATGAAAAAGTGTAACGCTCGGTAACGTAACGATGAGTCTCTCGTGTTAAGTTTAAGTTTACATGTACAATGTTTTAGTAAACAAAATATATTTCTATAGTTAAAATTTGTGCAATTCTTATTTTCATTCAATTCCTTGTTCCTATTGTGCAATTTAATTATATTCATATCAATAAATATTCTACCGAGAAAAAGACGTTGTCACGTAAAATCTTCGCCCGTAAAACCGACTTTACAGGCAACCATTTTTTTTTGAGTGTGTATGCTGTTGGTCGCAGATGACCTTTACGGCGTCACCGGGTTTGGGGACGGCGAGATCCTAAGGGGACCTCAAGCCGAGAATTGGCGAGTGCCTCTGGAGGTATTCCAGTCGGATGGCGTCTCCCCACGGGGGGAGTCTCCACTCCGTCTGGAGCCTCCAGACCACTAGAACCTGAGGGGGTCGGCTCTAGTTAGCCGTTGTCGTGGGGGGCGGGGAAAAACGCCCAGGTACGTACCTGTACCTGGTATAGCGTGTCGTGTGTAGACCGGGTCTTCGCACTCTTATCCTACGGGTGCAGTGTCTGCCTAATGCTAAGCTAGTGTGCACGTTTGCTAGCTGTGTAGTGTTGGTGTTTGTGGCCTGTGTAGGAGGAGTCGGAGGTGCGTTGGCGCGTGTGATTTCGTCGTCTAGGTAGTCTAAGACGTGCCTAGGCCGACGGAATCGGAGGGAAGTAGTGTTGACTAACTCACAGAAGCTAATCGGAAAAACCAACTCGATACATTTCATGCCAAACACTCCAAGAAACATTAGGACTTGTAGACATGGTCCACTGATGCCAGATTGGGGGGATTCCCCCCAAATTAAAAATATTTATATTATAGGGGGGGAAAATATTTTTGAGGGGAATCATGGGGGGAAGAAATTTGGTTTTGGGGGAAACCGGGGGTTTTTAAATTACATTTTATATAAAAATAAAATCACTTCATAAACTTTTAATCTGTAAAAAGTCGCGACCAACTGTCTCTCTTTCTCATTCTGTATTGAGCATGACAAGGATAGAATTTTGTCAAACATTTTATTAGGCTTTGAGAATCATGCGCGATTCGGGCCACTGAACTGTGTTCATTCTGTGAGTCCGATTCGGACCCACAGAATGTCCAAAGCCCACTTAAAAAAGTATTCTTCGGTCCGTTCCGTCTCGCTCAGTCGCTCGGTCAGTCAAGTCTAGTAATATTTTCTTTAGATTTAAACTATGTATCACCTTTGATTTGCTAAGTCGCCATTTCGTTGATCCTTTTAATATTTGCACCTTGGTAAAATAATAGCATTATTAAAACAAAGTTACGCAATAAGAATAACAAAGGAGTAGGAAAGTCGACGTGTGCGAAAATTTTGATCCAGTAATCCATTACTGTTGCAAAAATAAATATTATGTAGTAAATATTGTATTTTTATATTTTGCAAGTTGGGAGGTTTTTGCTTTTAAAACCTGTATTTTGGGGGGATTTCGGGTAAGTTTTGGGAGGAAGGCGAAATGGCTTTCTGGTAACACTGACATGGTCATGAATTATTAAAAAAAAAGTTAGGGGGCGATGGCGATTTGGCGATGGCGCTGCAAATAATGGTGTCGATTCTGACAGGATTCTTTAAACTTAAAACTAAATTTAACATCAGTCTGTCCTTTTCATTATGTATAGGGAATGATAAAGATACACTGTTGTCAAATTTAAGTTTAGCTATAGAGAATCTTGCTAGAATCGACATCAATGTCATTTCTATTATTTTCTATGAAACTGTTACCACTCTGTATTGAACACAGCGCCGCAAGAAAGTTTGAGTAATTTCATAAGGCAAACGTTTTGATAAATTATAATAAAAACCAGCGAAGGCGATTTATCCTGCTGTTGCAATGGTGTATAAAGTACATGCAGGATCTGAAGCCACAGTATTTCAGTCTGCACTTGCTGGTGGAGTAGCTGGTGGTTTGACAAGAGCTATAGCGCAACCTCTCGATGTTCTCAAAATACGATTTCAACTTCAACTTGAACCTATAAAGTCTGAATCAAATTCGAAATACAAATCTGTAGCTCAAGCTGTAGCATCAATCGTGAAAGAAGAGGGTTTAGCGTCATTATGGAGCGGTCACGTACCGGCACAATTCCTGTCCATTACATATGGTATTGTGCAATTTTCGATATTTGAAAAATTAACTCAATTATCTCGGAGATCTGATCCACAGTTTTTTAAACATAACAAGCATTGGTTTAACTTTACTAATGGTGGTGTCGCCGCTACAGTCGCTACGATCGCCTCGTTTCCATTCGATACGTTGAGGACCAGACTAATAGCTCACAATAAATCTCTGGGAGTGTACAAAGGGTTCACTCATGCTTTTTTAACAATGATAAAAACTGAAGGAATCTCCTCTTTGTATAAAGGTTTGTTTCCAACATTGGGACAAATAGCGCCCCATGCTGGTGTACAGTTTGCAATTTATAAACTGTTCACTGATAATTTTCTCAACAGGATAGCATATTTTCAAAGACGAAACAGTGTGGCTGGTACAGTGGAATCAACACTTTTAGCAAATCTATTAGCGGGGTCCATTGCAGGGTTTGTTGCAAAAACTACTATATATCCATTTGATGTGGTTAAAAAGCGTCTCCAAATTCAAGGTTTCCAGAGACACAGAGAATCATATGGTAGGCAAATATATTGCCGAGGTTTTTTAAATTGCATAGAGCTGACAATAGTTGAGGAGGGATTCTTGGCACTGTATAAGGGTTATGTACCTACCATTTTAAAAGCTGTATTAGTGTCTGCTCTGCATTTTGCAGTCTATGATGAAGTTAAACATTTTTTATTGAGAACACAAAGATAAAGTTAATATTTTTTTAAGTAGGTAGTAATATTTTTGTGTACTTACTTTGAATGAAAGTAAGAACAATCATCACAAAAATAAAGTGAGTGTAGATAGTCATGATATAGAAAATTTGCAATCTTATGTAAGAAAACCATTTTTTTTAATGTTTAATATATTTGATTATTTTAAAAATATACAATTTGTTTTAATATGTAAGAATAACATCATATCATATTTTACATATTCACTTCATGTTCTTCTAAAGGAAGAAATGAGAACCTTCAGTAATGTTTTTAAATAGTATGTATGAGATTATAATGTGTATTATCAGTAAATCATAATGTTACTGATATTTCACTGTTCATTTGAATAGTAAAATAATATTCCTTAAATGGAATTTTATCACTGAACTTCAAAGACATTAGAAAATTATTATCTCAAAATTATTTTCATTGTTATTGCAGAATCCCAACTTATGCCTGCCATAATTAAAGTTGAACACATGACTGTGATAAGTAACGCAATGCGACATAAAATCTGGTGAAGTTCAATTTTAAAACAGTCATCATGACTTTCATGTCAGTTTTACCATCATAAAAGTAACATAAACACACAAAATTAGTTCGAAAATTACAACCAATATGAACAGATAGGCTTTGGAAATTATATGATTATTATTTTGACTAAAGTTAACCATATGATATCACATAACCCATATTCCTCATCAAAGTATCTTTAATAGCTGGTTGTAATTCTTTTTTCATGTATGTAGTTAAAAGGGTCCTTATGCCTTTTGTGAATATGTCTTCCATCTCCCTAGAAATATCTTCTACTTCATCTAAATCATCGTCTGGCCTGAATAGCTTGCTCCTCTCATAGTTTATTCTGCTGCGGGGTTCATAAATTATATCCCACTTATTGTCTGACGCTCTGCTTTCAAGACCTTCACTGCTGGGCTGAGTAAGATGAGGATCGAACGAAAATTCATCTGATCGCCGCCGTCGTCTCAAAGGAAGGTTGTCCTTATTCCTTATAGAATTCCTATTGATATACTTTTCGCAACCGTAAGCATATACGCTGATAAAGCCAGGCTCGACGAATTCCGAATCGGTTTTGACGTTAAACTTTCCAGGTTGTTGGTTTAAAGGCCGCGTGTGGAATCCTATTCCGGCCTTTCTTAGTCGCAGTATCATGTTACAACCGTTGCCTCTGTTGCGGTATTGAGCCTCAGCAGGATACGGGCCTTCGTAAGGCCGGGGTACGTAGTCCCTTCTTAGACGTCCGTTTGGCGGAGCTCCTCTATCCAATTCGTTCGCATCGTACAAGTCCACATTACCACTAATCGTCAGGTCGTTGAATAGCAGCATAGTGTCCAAAGACACGTTCCGCGGGTCAAAGTAACACTTCTCTACTCGCACCCAGTTGCTGTTCTGCGGTAGGCGCACGCGCATCCTTGTCACGATCATGTCGACAGGCGCGCTCCTCATTTGTTGGTATAAACTGTACCCGTTGAGATCGATGCTTTGACTCTGAAAATAAGTGAAACTGCCACTCAGTATTACAGATAACAGCAATGGAATTTGCCTAGCCGACAATGAATTATTTCGATATCGATAGATAATTTTGCGTAGTCTCATACGGCTTATAAAGGGACTAGTAGGTGCCCGCTACATCATCTGCGTGAAAAAAAAAAAGGGTTTCCCGTACGAATTATCACTACCCTTTTCACCCCCCTCAAAAGATGATTTCTGGGATAAAAGCTATCCTATCCACCTTTCATCATAATCGGTTCAGTGGTTTAAGCGTGAAGATATGACTGATAAACACACAGATGAAAACACACAAATGAGAAAGTGGGACAGACAGACACAATTTGGGAATTATTAGTATGGATGGACACAGGGATGGAATCGGCGTACTCAAGTCCAGTGATACCTACTTAATCATCGCCAACCTTATAATGTATCCAGTTTTGGGGCACAAGCCTTCCCAATGGATGGAATTAGATAACCACTTAGTAATCACCATAATTATTATACTTCTTTACTACCTTTTTTTAAGGAACTCGATGGCGCTGGTGGTTAGCGCGTTCGGCTGCGATCGTTGAAGTTTAGCAACTTTCGGTCGGTCATTAGATGGGTGACCAAAAAATCTTCTATTTCGAGTTTCTCCATGCTTCGGAAGGCACGTTAAGCCGATGGTCCCAGCTGCATCTGCAGTCGTTAGCACCCGCCAATCCGTACTGGGCCAGCGTGATGTGCCACGGCCCAATCTCCCTATTTCATTCATAGGGAAGGCCTGTGCCCCAGCAGTGGGGACATTAATAGGCTGATGTTGAAGCTGACCACCCTTTTTATACAACAAAAGATCTTTGGTAATTTTATATTGCGTAGTTTATTATCTTTACGCTGCTCTACTAAAAATAAGTAATAAATAATCACGCAATTATCGATCTTAGCTGCGAATCTTACCAGGGGGGTATCCAGGCTTTTTGGCTGATTTCTCTTTCTCCTCTTCAACTGGTCCAGAGCGGATTCCAGTCTTTGCGAACATCGTTCCCCAGCTATCGGGACGGTGGTTAGGGGCTGCAGCCCACCAGGGCCAATGGATGGTGCGGGTCTCCCGTCGAACCGCTTCACTTCGTATAAAGGGAGGAAGCGTGTCTCTGGAATAAAAACGAAAAGAATTTTATGGTTAGGTTAAGTAAATAAATCAACATTGAGCATCCACTCAATGACTTGAGTTGATGCTCATCATCATCATCATCGTCTCTCCTAATGCACGCCACTGCTCCCGATTTTCTGCCACTCTCATCCAGTACCCACTCCAGCCAGCCTACGAATGTCATCATCCCATCTTGTCTCAGGGCGTCCCACACTACGTTTACCGAGTCGCGGTCTCCACTTGATGCTCAATGTTGATTAATTTATCAGTAGTATATCTGTCTATATTATACAAGCTACCCGCGACTTCGTCTCCGAGATTTAACTGGAGTCCCACACAAACTTCTACCCTAATTTTCAACCTCTTAAAGGATGATTTCGAAGACCAAATTCATCTTTTGTCTTTTCCCGGGACTCGAAGACATCTGTGTACCGAATTTAAACTAAATTGGTTCAGCGGTTTAAGCGTGAAGAGGTTACGGTAGACACACTTTCGCATTTATAATTTGTATAGATTCTCTGTTGAAAACGAAATTCGGATTTTTTATTGTATCGTAGCAGCTGCATCGTCACACGTCGGGATTTTTTGGAGTCGGTATGGTATACTGGTTCGCAGGTAACTTTTACAGCACAGGGGTTGGAACGGCTATGTCCTCAAAGGACTTCAAACCGGGAAATGTAGAGTTGCTCTAGTGGAATTTTAGGCGTATGACATCTTCCCGCGAGGAGATTCTGCTCCCTCTACCACGTAGAGTCACTAAGTCACTCGAGCCTGAGCGCAGTGCACGATCGATCCATTTCCAGAGGGATATTATGTACCTATGCTTATTATTGAGGTTTAATGGCTATGTATAATACAGTTGACAGTAACTACTTCTCTAAATAGAGTAGACCTATATTAAGAATATACCTTTTATTACTTTTTTACTCTATGACTGTAGCTCTACTGTATGACTGTATGTTATGTTGATACTGTAAATTTTACTGTGCAGTCAAGTACGCGATAATTTTTATTACTATTAATTACGGACCGGAGATATTTTTAGGTCTATTAAATAAAATTTTATCAGATGCTTTCGTAATAATAGCGCGTTTGTATGTGTCTTTATTATCGTAACAATTGTAGCAAACAAAAAGAAATGTTACAGATAACAAGATCACACTCTAGATAAGACAGAAAGTATATTATAAACGTACAATTATACTTATATGTATACATAGAGCTGAATGGTGGATGTTGTCTGTTTTCACTTCTATTGTCTGTGTTCAATACCGTGGCAGTTTCCATAGAATAAACCGTCGCAAACTCAATTTGCTATAACGTAATTGTTTTAAACATGGCCATCAACCCAGACGGGGAATGATGTACTATTTTTATTATAACGAAAATGAATAAGTTATGTTTTACCCAGACACAATGTGCAAATTTTTAACTGGCTTAAAGAAAATGAGAGTAGAAGATTCTATTTTTTATTTAAAGCAATTAACTGCCACATTTATAAATGCAAAGAAATTTAAAATAGAAAAAATATCACTCGGCCTCGAACCTGCACCTTCCGTTAATCGGGATTCGAACCTGCACCTTGCGTTAATCGGGACGGATAGCTGTAGTGTAGCTGACTCAGGTAGATAACCCAAGTTCTAAATGTTATGTGTTATGTATGATTATGAACTCGTGACCTCTCTAAATCCATCTCCTGGAATATATTTCGCTATCTTGACTTGTCTTCAGCGATGTGAATGGCTTTGCAAACCATGATGTGAGAGTGCTTTGCCAATTGGCAGTAATTTTTCAAGATTATCGAATGTACTTCTGGCAATATGACCAAAATATTTGAAACTCCCTCACAAGCATAGAGTGGTGTGAGTTTTATTTTCAGTTCAGAGTTCATACCAGTATTTATTTACGTAGAATACGGTAACACCTTTTTTTAAGTTTGTATGCTGTGGGTTGCAGATGACCTTTACAGCGTCACTGGGTTAGGGGATGGCGAGATCCTCAAGCCGAGAATTGGCGAGTGCTTCTAGAGGTATTTTAGGCGGCATCTCCCAACGGGAGAGTCTCCTCTCCGTCTGGAGCCTCTAGAGCACTCGTATCTGAGGGGATCGGGTCAACTTGAGGGCGTCTCTGAGACTCGGACCTCGACTCTAGTTAGCGGTTGTCGTGGGGGGCGGGGAAAAACGCCGTATGTAGACCGCCGGTAACTCCTACAAAACTAGCTGCTTGCCTTGCATTGACCGCACACTTTAATGCACAGGTTTGCTGCGACCGATGTCAACCTGTATACCATCTGTCGACAGGGCTCCACGGGGTAGGGGATAGAGTTCAGGGTAGACAACGCTTGAGTGATACTC